ATTCTTTGTAGCAAACTAAGCTGAAGAAGCCTGGGAATAAAGTTTGGAAAAGGTTAATAAAATTCTTTGCCTAGTAAACAGCGACAACAACAAAGAATAGTGTCTAAATACACCCAGCCCGTTGGCCACACCAAATAGTTTACAATAATAGGATTTGTGAAAAATACATGTTTTTGTTGCCCCAGACCCTGTTACACACCATTAGCAGGTGGACTTCTTAATCAAATTCACCCTCCACTCTTCCGTCATCCCTCCCAGATGAGCCCCCTCCTCCTTATATAGCCCTTGTGTCAGATGAACCTCTAGAGAGATTGAGACTGAGTAGCTCAAGTCTGTCACTACAAATACTCTCTGCCTACATGACTGAGCCTCCAATAAAACACAAAGTGGCATTAGGGCTTAGCTGGTTCCCTGGCATGTATTATCATACACAGTTGCTAGAAGCTCCCTCCCATCCAAGGTTCCAGTCTTTTACTCCTCTTAATTTTGATTTGTACTCTTTTTTTCTGTAATACGCTTTAAACATGATTATCACTAGCTCCTCTATTACATCACTGTGTCTGGCTGATAGTTTTGGTAGCTGCTATAAGAGAAACCAAGAGTGGGAAACAAACAGCACTGGGAGAAAAGCAAGGTAAAATTAACTTCATCAATATTATTTTTTTCTTTTCATCAAAAAATACTACCATGTAACCTGGAGACATCTAGATATCAGGAGATACTGTGAAAGAGGTGGTGGAAAGACTATGAGAGTCAAAGAACCAGATAGAATATCTGCTATAAGTGTTTCCTTTCTTTACTTATTTATAAATAGATAGATTGATAGACAGACAGACAGACAGACAGTTCCTTTAGCAGCATAGTTGTAATAGTGGGTTTTCCCTTAGGCCCCTGGTCTATCTAGCCTCAGGTTCTGGTCACTGTAGCAGTATCAGGTTCTGTCCCACAGAGACAGTGGGTGTCTACTCCCAGAACATCTGTGACACGATTGAACCAGTATTTTTTTCAGGCAGACTGCTGTTATAGATCACAAGCTGGGTGATGCTGACGATTATCCTATTTTTTCTGGTATCATGAAGACCTTCCAACATTAGGAGCTTGTTATTAAAATCCAGTGTATCCCCTTCCTAAGATTCTAGTTACAAACCAGGGCATGATTCCACCAAAAGTCTCCTCCCCAGAATAAATGAGTCTCTAAGGCTTGTTTACAGAACACAGGCAAGGGGTTATTCACAGGAAAGTGGGTGACCCCACAGTAACTACACTTGGAAATCTTCACACAGCATGAAAGCTTCATAGCCACATACATGGAGCCTCTTCCTCTATACTTTCCCTTCTTCCTGTTAACCACCCTGTAGCATGGAGTTATGAATTCCTTCTGAATCATGAATTCATTCCGAAAAGTGTGATATTTGAGATTGTATATTGGAAATCCAAGATAAATAAATAAATGGTGAAATACATTAATCTAGAGAAGGAATACAACTGAAGACATAAATTAGGAAACCTTAAAGATGAGCAAAGTCATGGCCTAGGCTGAGGATCTATAGGAAATGAGTATAGATAAAAAGGCCTGGAAGGGGTCTTGGAATTCAGAGGACGGGAAGGAGAAAAAAAGAGCATATCATTGTCAGATAAGATTTTGTGCCTTTTATTGAACTGTATCTCTTCTTTGTTAGTGATTTTATGTTTTGTCAGTTATATATACTACAAACAATTTCCTAATCTTACATTTGTCTTTTGATTCAGATTATTTTATTTTGAGTGTATCTATTAAAAAATATCCATTGCATTAGTGGCAAGAGGAATGGCTCAGGAGGTAAAGATACTTGTTACTAATCCTGACAACATGGTAGACAGCGGACTGACTCCCTCAAATGGTCCTCCACATGTTAGCCTTGGCATGCACATACGCATACACACCCACAAAGAAAAGCATAACGGACATTAAAAAGTATTTGTTGTACTGTTAAATTAATCAGTAATTCGACCATTATGTGTAAGGTTGTTTGTTGTTCTTTATTTCTGGTTTCTTAGCATGCACTTTAGAATTTATTCTGATGATAAGTTTTGCCAATATCCCCGCTGGCATCTATTAACTTTTTCCTTGTTCACTGGCTTGTCATATTTTCTATTTAATACAAATGACACTTAAAATTGACCCAATTTCAATTTTAAGCTTTCAAATTGTAAAAGAAGGGTTTCACAGATGGGCTCGGTGGTTAAGACCACTTACTCTTTTTTGCAGAGGACTTGCGTTCAATTCCCAGCACCCACATGATGGCTCACAACTGCCTGTAGCTCCATTTGTAAGAAGTCTGAAGTTTTCTTTTGACTTCCATGGGTACCTCCATAATGCATATGCGAACTCTCCCAGGCATACATACATGCACACAAAATGGATAATAAATCTAAAAACATCTTACATTTTAAAAGAGAAGATCAAAGATACTTCTCCTAATCAACAAATGATATTGTTATAAGAATCTCAGTATGCTTACAAGAAAGTGTAAAAAAATAAGTATTCATACAAGAAAAATTAGAGGGCAGCAGCCTAAATAGGTAAAATGAAAACATGGAAGGACAGAAAAAGTACACAGCACATTCCATCTGTAGAATGATACTGGAAATTGGGTATCAATAGAACACATAGTATTTGTTGAGTGTTTTCCTTATATGGGGTCTTACTTGCCAGGTGACATGATGGGTGAATAACGAAAGTGCCTGATCTCAGCAAGTGTAAATATATATATATATATATATATATATATATATATATATATATATATATTACAGTATTTTTTCCTGCATGTATGTCTGCAGGCCAGAAGAGGACACCATATCTCACTCTAGACAGTTGTAAGCCACCATGTGGTTTCTGGGAATTGAATTCGGGACCTTTGGAAGAAGACAGTGTTCTTAACCTCTGAGCCATCTCTCCTGCCCACAAGTGTAGATTATGATAGGCAAAACCTGACAGCTATCCAGATGGATGATGATGCTTTTTAAGGATGAATTCTCAGAAGGTATTGGGACAGTAGACAGGGAGACAACAGCCTGACAATAAAGACTGTCCTTTTGGAGGTGGTATGGGGAAGGGCTTACCCTAGAAAGGGAATGGCAAGGCCAGGTAGGAGACATGCTGCGCTGCCAGGAAGAGTTGAAGTGCAAATGCTCGAAGCTAAGGTAAGAAATCCACACAGTGTGGCTGTGGCATAGGATGGAGAAGGGCACAGGTTGCGAGATGGTGGCAAAAATACCTAGAAGACTAGATGACTGATGGCAAGAGGGAAACTTTGGAAGGGGTAATCTGAGATTTCTTTGGCTCTTTCATGAAAGGTAGCCTGCTAGTGAAAGAACATTAGGGATCTCCAGATAGAAAGCCCCTGTATAACAAATAAACCTAATACTTTTTTCCCCCTTTTAAAAGTACAAAAACTAAATAAATACCTGGCATAAAGAGGAGTAAATAAAAATGAATGGTCAGTAACAGGTCTAAGGGCAGGGATTTGAGAGTGATTGTTATATGAGTGACTCTGGTACCAAAAATAATCCCCGTCTAACATTCAGTAAAATTTGTTGAATTAGATAAACTAGTTACTACTTGTGAAACAAGACTCATATAAAATGAACAACTTGAACAGAGCTCCAAGTAAGTCTCATGGGCTATGGACCTGGCTTCATAATTATATTTAACTATGGAACAGATATTTCCATCAAGGCTGGGTAAATCTGCAGTCACATTGCCCCAATTTTACTGTTGTAATAAAGGGGTTCAGAATTAAGTTTAAAAGTCAGCCTTTTTGTTGTACATTTTCCTCTAGCCCTTAAGCCACCAGTTCCTAAGTGGCATCATTTTAATGCAGAACACACTATGTATGAACTCGATAAATGTATATTTAGGCTGCTGGAGTTCTCAAAAAAAAAAGCTAACGCACAAGAAAATGTTTAAGAAAAAAATTGGACAACTTGGCAGCATTTATCATTGCTAACATTGTTTTCTACAGTAAACTTTGAAATTGCATTCTAATTTGAAGTGGTTCTGGTTTGACAAGTTAACTCTTGAGACATCTAAGTGTAGTATTATGAAAGAACAGAACTGTTCATCAACCCTTTATGCCAATGTTAATTTCTTTTAAAAGTACGATTTTAATGTTTTTTATTCCTACAGTGACCCTTAAGATTTCTATGTATGCAATCACCGATGCACACACAAGATGCATTTATACGCTTATTTTGTAGTTTTAAAGCCAATTGGGAAACGCAATTTTAATTTTGTTACTGAAATAATTTAAAAATATATCATAGAACTGCCTCTTTTCATTCAACAGTAAAGATCCAGAAAGAGATTATGCCAAGTAGAACTATTCAGCTTTATTAGTGTTAGAAAAATAAAGCTGGTAACTTCAAAAAGTATTCTTTTGATATATTTTAAAATTTTCATAGTATGTATTCACTATATATGGTACTGTATTATAAGAGGACATTTTCGTGCAAGTGTATGTTTAGTGTTGAGCATATCCCACCAACACTGCCTTCTTCTCCCCCTTTCAGCCTTGTTGTAGCTAAAAACCATTCCATTGTATACCTATACTACATTTTCTTTATCCACCTCAATGCTGTTGGACAATTAGGTTAGTTCCAAAACTATTACAAATAGTTATACAATAAATGCTAATGGTAAGTATGTCTGACATGATGTTCTGGAGCCCTGTAGGAGTGCTACAGCTGTGTCATGAGGTAGATCTAGTCTCAGTGTTCTGAGGACACTACACACAGATTACAGATAACCACAGTGCTTATATTAATTCATATTACCACTGTCATAAAATATTGTTTTACGATGCCTTAAAGAACCTAGGCAATTTATTTCACAAAGACTCATTATACACATTAGCCTGACATGCTAAAGTCTGGAAGATAATCTTGGGAACTACATAAAAGCTCCTGGTGACTTCATAATGCCTGTGATTTGTAAGTATTGCCAGAAGTGTACGCACCGGCTCTTACTCATAAGGTCGGCTCCCCGTGCTTTGTAGTAGTCTAAATTGGGGTGGAACGGGTAAGTCACTGGCCTTGGATTTCTCTAGAGAAAAAAATACAATGAATTAAAACGAATAAAAAAAGACAGGAATGACTAAAATGACCACTTTAATGTCCTATACACATATAAGAAATTTAATAATTATCATGTTTGAATTTTATTTCCAGTGGTTCTTTCTTTAGTTGATCAGAACTGAAAAAAATTCAAATTTATTTTTCTTTTTTAAAAGAATTTTAATTTTTTTCTTCACAATTTATTCATTATATATCCTGATTGAAGCCCCCTCCCTCAACTCCCCCTGACCCACCCTTCTTCCCTCCTACCCTCATCCCCTTCCCCTAGTCTACTGAAAGGGGAAGTTCTCCATCTGCCTATAGCTTGTTAAGTCTCATCAGGACTACTTGAATCCTTTTTAACCTGTGTTGTTGGTCAAATAGATTACTGTAAGCAGATTGTTTTTATAATGCTTTCCATTACTTTCAAATATAATTTTCAAAAATGAGATAAAATTACAGCAAAACTAAAAAACTACTTGATCTGTAACACAAACACAAACCATCAAAAGAGGCCAAGGGACAACAGGTAGAGGAAAAGTGAAAATAACCATGAATGTCTGGTAACCAGAAAACTACAAACATCCACTAGATGGCACACTGAGTCCTAGTTAACAATTTCAATGTCATCTAATCTTATTTATGACTTTAATAAGTGTTCAAAATGTGTCAGCCAATGGAACTATTAGAAGCATGACCATTAAACTGACCAATGAAAACTGACCAATGCACATTTTCATAAAATCACAAAAACTGCTCTTTCTGCCATTTAATATTATTTCTAGCATGGCACAAATGTCCTTAAATCATTAGGTTGGGTGTATCCATTTAAATGGGCAGCTGTTTACACTGTACTAATTATTTAAATGTGACACGATCTATACAAACAAATAAAAATTAAATATACTTACATTTTACAAAAATCTCAAAAAATTTACACCATAATTTAATTGTATATCACAATCACACATTAAATTATATGCAACCCCACTAAAATGTTTCATCAACCTTTGAATGCTTTCTAATATTCACCTAGGCATTTAATTTAGGTAGCAACTATGTATTTGAACTGGAACATGAACTGTTCCTTTTGAGATCTAGTTAGACACAGAATTGCTGGACTCTATTTTAATAGAAAAATACCTATATGCTTAGATAACCATCCTTGGAGACATAATTCCAAAACTGATATGCTTGCATGCTAATGTGGGGTAGAAAGGAAATATAAATTGTTAAGGTAAACAGTTTGAAATTCATCAAGCTAACAAGATGTATCTTAATAGCCATGAAAGACCTTTTCTTTTTTGCTGAAAGGAGAGTATTTATACAGCTCAGCCCATTCATATCTCTTCCAAGCCAGCCCTAATCATCTGACAGAAATGACAATCCCCTGATTTAGCTACAGCTACTATTCCATTGGTTTGGTATTCAACACAGATCTGTAATAATCAAATCTGAATTGCCTTGATGAAGATAACGGATGCTTCCATGACTACTATACTATTAAGTCTAACTGCAACTTTTCTTTCTCTAGGAATTACATAGGTTACTCATGGTAGCTGATGACAACCTGAACCCAAGTATAATGGAAAAATAAAATAGAGGTTAAAGCCACTGGCAGACTACATTCCAGATCACAGTCGTTCATGATCTATTTTAAAAATTAACTTCCCCAAAACTATAATTCATGACTGATTCTGTACTTTATTCTCTGTACCTGGAAAATCATACTGCTTTTGCTAATATGAAAGGCTTTTCTTTTCTGACTTTCAACAATATAGTAAAGGATCATGCTACTTTTTGTTAGAAAATAATACACGAGCAATCCCGTGGAACAGTTTCCTGAAATATCTTTATAAAGAAACGACAAGCAATTCAAGACATGAAGCGCTGATCTAGCTAAGCACTTAAAGCCGTTATTAGGAACAACGATCTGACTTGAGCACGTGAATGGGTTCAGTATTGCCTTCACTGAGACCTATTTAAATTCCCGGGAACTTGCTAGAATCGAAGGGAGATAGTTTAAAGTACTGCAATGCTGGGAACAACATCAAATAGTAAAAAAAAAAAAAGTTGATATTGAATAACTACATATGAAATACTAAGAAAATAAAAAAGAAGTTACTGTTCAAAGTTATTTAAAAGGTCTCCTGTTAAGATGGTGTCATTTTAAAAACACAAACATAAAAACATATAATCTGGACAAACACTATGAAAATAGATAATGTAGGCCACAAAACCAAAAGTTTGATAATTAAAAATTATCTAACAAACACATTTAAACACGCACACACACACGCACAAAGCAGATGAAGTAGTGGTTCTCAACCTTCCTAAGGCTGTGATCCTTTAGTACAGTTCCTCATGTTGTGGCGACTCTCAAGCATAAAATTATTTTTGTTGCTACTTTGTAACTATAATTTTGCTATGGTTATGAATCATACTATAATTATCTGATATGTAGGATATCTAATATGTAACCCCAAAGAATCTCAACTCACAGACTAGGAACCATTGAAAAAGAAAAGAGGACATGAATTTGAAAGAGGTACAAGAAGGAGAGAGAAAGGAAAGGATGAAATAAATGTAATTAAAAAAAGTGGCTGCAGCAGGAATACAAAGTGAATACATTGTAATAAATATATAAATAAAATAAAATTAAAAATAAATCATCTAAACTTAAAAAAAGAGAAAGCTTTTCCTAAAAAACAAAACAAAATGACTATCATACCTTAAATATTTCAATACCCATCAAAAATGTGGCAAAACCAAATTAAAACTAAATAATTGATCAGAATCATTATTAATCATACATATATACGTATAAGACTGTATCAACATGAAAACAATTCTTTCCTCAGCAGGATGAAATTAGGAATGAACAGAGTTCTAACTGAAAAGTAAAGAGATACTTTCCTAATTTTGAGCAATTTCTCCCAAATATAATTTATAAAAACATTATAGTTCTTCTTTGTAATCTTTATTGGTGTGTAATTTTTCTCTAAAATAGGAGGCACTAGACTTTTACATATGCATAATCCTGGATGTAGAAGACTAGATCCCATGAGTTACAATTTCTCACAGTACAGAATATGTTAACACCTTTAATACCATGTCTTTTTAAAACCATTTTCACAGTCCAGATTTCAGACTACACAATCACCTTCAAACCAAAGAATATTAAACTCAACCAAACACACACAAACACACACACACACACACACACACACACACACACACATGCATAGATAGGCAAGAATATGAGGGAATCATATTAAAATCTTGGAGACCAAGTGACTTACAGAACCAAAATTGATAGCAGTAGACATCAAAGTCTTAGAAGGGAAAGCAAACTAATAAAGCTAAATCATGCAGTGGCTACTGCTTTCCAACATACTTTTATTATTTCCACAAGATCCCCAAACTACTTCTATAAAGACTTAGTTATAAAATAAATTTCAAAGATAAAATCACCTATCTGTTAGTTAGAGTTTCTACACTGCTCAGGTCTTTATTAAGAGAGATACCTGCTCCCTAATGTAAATCCGGCCAGGGGAATTGTATCGGAATGGTCAGCAGCAAATCCTGTGGCAATTTTAGTAAGCCAAGTCTTGTCTGTAATATGTCACACTCCTCCCCTCTTAGTCTACTCCACTGCAACATTTCAAACTTAAGTTCAAACTTAACTTTTTATTGCAATATAGAAATATTTAAGTGCTAACTCTATGAAGACTAGTTAAGAACAATATACTGCAAGAGCATGTCACTAACAGATGGGACACAACTATCTTTCTTGTTGAGCCTGACAAAAATCAAACTCAAGCAAAAAATGTCACTACATATAGTACTGTCTGCTTTAATGTCCTCATTTTTGCCCTTCATCTGAAGATAAGTATCTCTCCAAATCATTTTTGAAGCTCCAGAAAGAAAGTCTGAAGTGTTCATTCCCTTTTGAATAGAATAGAATCTTTCAGAGGACTTTTACACAGACACATGAGAAGAGCAAAGAACAGAGGAACCCATGTTAGGTACACTGGTCTTAATGTCCTTTTGCACCATGTCTATTTAAAGTTCCTCATTGAAGACAGAAACACTAGAGGACATGCAACAGTGAGGCATGCATTCGGACTCCTGTCTGCTCCTTAGCACCTGGGAAATGAGCCACGGTCTTGGTTTAGTTTCACCACCTGGGAAACTGCAGCAGGGAGTCAATGGCATCATGAAAATAATGTGTCAGGCACTTGATACAATTTCAGTGATACGGGAGCTATAATAAACTCTCACACCACTGAGCACGGACATACAGAACAGACTTTGACCTAGAAAGCAGTTATGATAGTATGACAACCTAAAATCCATGATATTTAGTGGGTAGAAAAAGTAATGTTTTATGCTTCTAATAATCACATCTTGTGCTAGGAAGATGTAGTAAGCATAACAGATTTTGTATGTGGAGGAGAGGCTGTCTTATTATTGGATAGGAGTATACATACTTTGAAAAATATAGAGCCACACTATTCAGAATGTGTTAGCTTATGAGATTTTAACAATCATAGTGGTCACCTACAATATGTCCAAAGTATTACCATTTTATAGTTTATTAGCCACGATTTTAACAATAAGCTAAACTGAAAAAGTTCTTATACTATTCAACAGAAAGAACTTTATGCTTGTAGTATAATTTGTGTCTTGACATGAAGAAAATGTGACAAATAAATTACTGTTTTCTTTCTCCCACTATCTTGTTACCAGTATTTATTTTTTTATAGCGCATCATATTAGTAAAAAAAAAAAAAGGCTAAGAAGAAGAAATAGCACTGTAAAAATAAGTGAAATGTTTTTGTTGATGAAAAATTCCTTTATTTTAGTGAATATATTATTTCTTCAATGTTCAGGGAAAGGCAACCGTCATTAAAAGAAAATACAAGCAAACAAACTGCTCAGCTGTTTACAAGCCAAAAGCTCTAGAGGGATTACCAGGACCCTAAA